GGGTCACATGGGCGAGCCAGGAGGTGAGGCTGAGGAGCTTAACGCCGAGGGAGGCCCGAAAAGAGAAAACAAGAAATAGGGCCTTCTCGGCGGTGGCTCCTCGCCTCTGGAATAACTTACCTCCTGGCATTCGCGGAGCTCCCTCGCTGGGCACCTTTAAGAACCTATTAAAGACTTGGATGTTTTGGCAGGCCTTCTCTCCAGATTACTTTTGATCTTCTTCTCTCCTTTATTGTTTCCCTATTTTTAATTGTTGTTGTAATTATGCTGTTTTATGTTATTGTTTTTTATCTCTGTTGTTGGCCGCCTAGAGTAGTCCACCGCGACTAGATAGGCGGGATATAAATTAAATAAATCAATAAATAAATACTTCTTCGTAGCTGGCTGAGTAGCTCAGTGGGTTAGGTATCTGGCTGTGGAGCCAGAGGAGTTCATTTCCCCAGTGTACATCCCAGAAGAGTCAGCCTTTTTGTCCTTAGGCAATCCCAGGGTGCCCCCAGAAGAAGGGAATGGTAAAACATTTCTGAAAATTGTATACTGTATGTGGCAATAAATAAATACTTCTTCGTAGCTGGCTGAGTAGCTCAGTGGGTTAGGTATCTGGCTGTGGAGCCAGAGGAGTTCATTTCCCCAGTGTACATCCCAGAAGAGTCAGCCTTTTTGTCCTTAGGCAATCCCAGGGTGCCCCCAGAAGAAGGGAATGGTAAAACGTTTCTGAAAATTGTATACTGTATGTGGAAAATCTTGAAAAGGGTCACCAAAAGTCAGAATTGATTTGATGACGTATTATTATTTACTTCTGCTCTGTATTGCGGAATGCTACACTTCTGTAATGTGTAGACTTTCTTAAAGAGATAGTAATGCTGAAGATGTATTGATATAAGAATCACCTCACTTTTACCGCTTAGGAAAATATACTATTGTGAAACTTCACTTTAGGATTCATGTAGATGATGATCTTTTACTACTGAGGCCAGTCTGGAAGTGTACTTACCACATTTTCAGCATTATTCTTTCCTAGACTTAGTTCAGGGTAACTTTGTTCTTATGGCTAACTGAAGCCAAACATGTACTAATTAGCTGATCTTTGCCTATCCAAAAGCCATTTCCTCTATCTCAAGAGAAGTTTTAGGGTAACTTTCAAAACATCTGACAATCACCACCAGGCATACAGTTAAACAGATAAAGTAGCACACTCATCAGCATCTTTGAAACATAGAGGTGGGGAAGGAGAACAAGAAAGAGCAATAACAGTTTGATGGAGAAGTTTATATCTGAGTTTTAAAGATTGAAGAGATGAGGAAGCAGTGAAAATTTCCATAAGGCCTGTGCACAGATACATCTGTATACACCACTGATGGTGAACCTTTTTGATCCCGAGTGCCCAGATTTTTTTAAAAATAAAACCCCAGCGGGTGGTGGTGGCAGAGGCAGTGGAAGGCGGAATCCTGGGCATGGAGGTGCCTCCAGACCCCACTCTGGATCCACCTCCAGTCGTGCCCAACCCCATCACTGCCTATAGCTCAGCTGGCCCGCCAGCATCCACCACCTGTCAAGGTGCTAGGACTGTGGCTGCAGTTGCCTCCTCAGGTTTGGCTGCTGAGGGTAGTGATCCAGTGACTTATGGCTCTGCATGACAGCTGTGGCACGCGTGCCATAGGTTCGTCATCGTTCACCCTCAGATGACAGTTCAGTAAATTTATTTTTATGCTTTATCACTGAGGAAAAAGGACATGATCCTGGTGTACTCTAGGTCTGCATTTGTAGTGGCTCAGCCTAGCACTTGGCCAATTTTGGGACATGGGAACTTTGAATGGTGGAGAGAAGTTACAAAAGATTGTCTAAATGGGACAAGAGAGGGCATATCTTGTGCAATGATGCAGCTGAGGTGTTTTCACAATAAAAACATGGCCATCTTTTCCTTCTCCACCTCAGGCAGATGTATTCTCATATGGGATCATTCTTTGTGAGATCATTGCCCGGATCCAGGCGGACCCAGACTTTCTCCCTCGCACAGAGGTGAGCAAAGTGCACTGACAAGGGCTGGTAAGGGAAGAATGTTGAAGAGCTTTACTTGTTGATTAACAATTTACATAGAGATGCTGAACACATGTTGATGAATCACTGATCTAAGGCTTCTAATAAAACATTAATGTACTGTTATAATATGCAAGGAGTGGCACAGATCTTACTCCCCTTCTAAACCTATGATTATATTTTGCTGGTGAGTGCTAAATTTTCAGCATCTCACAGGCTTCCTTGTTAATGGACTGGAATAACAGAAAGCAGGTAGCTTATATTATTTCCTTTACTGAAAAAGATCAGTCTGAAAAGGAATTGTTTTTCTCTTCTAAGTCAGAACTAACTGTAGATATTAAATGTCTGACTACTTCAGATTCATTTCTCCCTTCTCACAGGCAAACAGAATTAAAGTGTATTTATGATCCCTATTCTATCATAACTCCTTTTACACTTCTTAAAAACTCATCGTGCAAATTTTGGATGCAAATAATATCTCCCATCCACTCCTAATAAATAATGGATTGGGTAGGGTTCCATCTTTTTGAGAAATTCCTGCTTTTGGGGGCCCTGGAAGATCACTGACATGAAGAAGACTGTAGCTTAACATATGATTTGCATGCAGAAGCTGTTACATTAAGTACCATCTCTAGTTAAAAGGAATAGGTAGCAGTTTATTGGGCAAGACTTCTGAGAGTTGTGATCCATGAGAGTTGTTGTCTGCGAGACTACATGCTACTGAAATATGTCTGACCTGGTTGAAGGCAGCTTTGAAGTATTTTTGGCTCTGTAAGATGCTGACTTCTTGGGAAGGGAAATTTGGTGGCAAATGTTCTCACCTGAGATATTGTGAAGCCCATTACCCTAACGTGTTGTCCTCCAGATGTTTGTAGGACAGTTCCCATCATCCTCAGCCATTGGCTAGGCTTGTTGGGGTTAATGAGACCAGAGCACCAAGTTGAGGAGAAAAGAACTGATGATTCCATTCAAAGTTACTACAAAAATCTGTTCATAGGTGGATGATAATAAAAGTTAGAAGTTTTCTGTTTCATCACAGATTGGCTTTGCAGTTGGTGATGGCCAAACACAGTGTGTGGCTGGGAGAAAAAATTGATTAAATGAACATTGCTTCTTATAGGTTTGATCATACCAGACTTCCTGCGCAGTTCCAAAATGTTAGGCTTCATTGGAGGAATGAAGTAATGCACTGAGTTGGTGATGGCCAAACACAGTGTGTGGCTGGGAGAAAAAATTGATTAAATGAACATTGCTTCTTATAGGTTTGATCATACCAGACTTCCTGCGCAGTTCCAAAATGTTAGGCTTCATTGGAGGAATGAAGTTTTGTAGTAAATATTGTATTAAAACTACCCTCTTTCTCCAAAAATGAGACCTAACCTGAAAATAAGCCCTAGTATGATTTTTCAGGATGCTCGTAATATAAGCCCTACCCCAAAAATAAGCCCTAATTAAGTGAAATCCTGCCCTCCCCCATTGTGCAGCATTGTGCAGCAACTGGAAGAAGATGACATGACTGTATTTTAATAAATGTAGATGGTTGCACATGAAAAAAATAAAACATCTCCGGAAAATAAGCCCTAATGCATTCTTTGGAGCAAAAATTAATATAAGACCCTGTCTTATTTTCAGGGAAACATGGTAGCAGCCAGGTCCTGTTAACCAAATGCCCTTAAGTAATTAATCATCAGCAAGTGTGACCACCTCTATAAAACCTGAAGTTTTAGCAGTTTGCTGGTCTGGAGCATTTGGGTGTGTGTCAACACAATACCAAGGAGGAAACACATCAGCAGTGATCATAGAGAAGCAATTGTTGCTTCCCATCAATCTGGAAAGGGTTCAAAGGCCATTTCCAACAATTTAAATGCCATCATTCTGCAGTAGGGGAGATTTTTCACAAGTGGAAAACATTCAAGATAGTTGTGATTCTTTCCAGGAGTGGACATCCAAGCAAATTCACCCCAAGGTCAGACCATGCAGTGCTCAGAGAAATTGCAGAAAACCCAGTAGTTACATCTCAGACTCTACAGGCCTCAGCTAGCATGTGAAATGTAACGTTCATGACAGTACAATTTGAAAATTAGCATAGTTTGTGGGTTGCCAGGAGAAAGCCTCTTCTTCCTGAAAAGAACATGGCAGTACAGCTTAAGTTTGCAAAGTTGCATCTGAACAAGTCACAAAACTTCTGGAACAATGTCCTTGGGACAGATGAGACCAAAGTGCAGATGTTTGACTATAATGCACAGCTCCATGTCTGGCGAAAACAAAACACAGCATATCAGCAGAAACACCTCATGCTAACTGTCAAGCATGGTGATGGAGGGGTGATGAGTTAGGCTTGTTTTACAGCCACAGGACCTGGTCATTTTGCAGTCATTGAGTCAACCATGAACTCCTCTGTATGCCAAAGTACTCTAGAGTCAAATGTGAGGTCATCTGACAGCTAAAGCTTAGCCAAAATTGGGTCACGCAGGCTAAAGCTTAGCCAAAATTGGGTCATGCAGCAGGACGATGATTCCAAGCACACCAGCAAATCTACAATAGAATGGCTGAAAAAGAAAAGTTGGTGCAAGGGCCCAGTCAAAGTCCTACAATAGAATGGCTGAAAAAGAAAAGAAGTTGGTGCAAGGGCCCAGTCAAAGTTCAGACCACAAGCTGATTGAAATGCTGTTGGGCTCTTATGAGAACTGTGCCTATACAAGTGCCCACAAACCTCAATGAACTGAAGCAACGTTGCAAAGAAGAGTGGGCCAAAATTCCTCCACAACGATGTGAGAGACTGATAAAGTCATACAGGAAGCAGTTACTTCAGGTTACTGCTATTAAAGTTGATTCTACAAGCATTGAAGGTCTACTTAGTTTTTCACATATGGCTTCTCCATTTTGGCTTTATTTCTGTAAAATAAATCATGACATGGTATAATATGTCAAGTGTTGTTGTTCATTTGAGTTTGTATTTACTTAATTTTCAGACCTGCTGAGACGATATGATTTTTATTATGTCTTGATACATAGAATTCGGAAAGGGTGTTCTTTCTTTTTCACATGACTGTAGCACTTGTATCCAACTTAAGCACAAAGGCAAATGTGTCATGTCTGGGTTGGTGCCAGGATTGAGTAGTAGATAAACACAAAAGCACTTTGTATTGCTTCTGCACCAGTTCATGTTTCCCTGCAAATGGAAGGCAATTCAGATAAGTTTTTGAAAGCAGGAAGAAACAACATTGTCTTTGATTCCTTTGTACAACAAGTCTGTGGAACATTTTTAGCCGAATGGAGTTGCAGATGCTCATGTAAAATATCATTGACAAAACCAATGTTTATTTTTATTTATTAAAAATTATTTATATGCTGCCTTTCTCCCCATAGAGGACCCAAGACAGCTCATAACAGGTAAAATAAGAAGGTTTAAAACACTATATAAACATCACATTTAAAAACAATTAAACCCACATTAATATTAAAACAATAAGTATAAAAACAATTTTAAAACATTTAAAACCTGGAATTTGAAAAAAATAGTATTTCTGATATCACTGCTTCAAGTTCTTTGCCTGATGACAGAGATATTTGACAAGTATCCAGACCACCTGTGCTCATGCAGAGTGAAGAGAACATGGGAACCTGAAATAGGTCTCTGTTGTGGCTATGTCCTGTCAAATTTGAACTGACTTATAATAAGGTTTTCAAAGTAAGTGAGATATTTAAGGAGGAGTTTTATCAGTTCCACTCTCATCAAGTTTCCATGGCAGAGTGGGAGATTTGAACCTCAAGTCTCCAGAGTCCTAGTCCATTACACTGCACTGGGTATCAGTGAGTTTGTTTGAATTTACTTAATTTCAAACAAACGTTGAGGCCTCTAGGGATGTACAGAGATGGCCTATTTGTCCTCTGGTTCATATAATGCAAGACAGGTTATTCAATGGTGTCATTTTTTCCTTGTCCAAAAAAAAAGAAAGAAAGTGAACAACACTAAAGACAACAAGAAGAAATTCTTCTCCCTTGCCATTATATAAACAAACAGGTCTCTTTGTTAGAGCACTGCAGACTTAGATAAGCGATTGATATACAAATATGAATACCCCTGCACAGCTGGCGTTAATGAAGGTCTGGCCCGCTGCTGCCGCCAGCCCCACTCTTCCTTCCAATCACTCTGGAGTGTCCGGTAGGCTAGCCATTCGCCAGCCTTGGAGCGAGACTCGTCTTCCCTCCTGTCAGGAGTGGCTAGCCGACCGTGCGCTCCAGAGCAATGGGAAGGATAAGCGGGGCCAGCAGAGGCGGTGGATGTATGAGTGAATTCCAGCTGTGTGGGGTATTTGTATTTGAATACAACTACCCCCATCTCTAGATACGATTCAGTATTGGTATGGCACCTACACATGTAATTTAATATATCGCAACATAGAGAATTCCCTTCTCTAAGGTTTGAAATTTGCTTCTGAACTCGGTCTTAGTAACTTTTCTATTTAGTTGTTTAGTACAAAGGTTTTATCATTTGTTTGTGATTAACAGTTCATTTTTCTCTTTTTCTTTCTTTCTTTTTTTTGCTGCGTGTAGAATTTTGGATTAGATTATGATGCCTTTCAGCACATGGTGGGAGACTGTCACCCTGACTTCCTCCAGTTAGCCTTCAACTGCTGTAATGTGAGTATATCCAAAAAGAACAACATGAAGGGCTTTCATACATCCATTTCTGTGTTAAGCAAAGATACACTGCAACCTCTTGTAGTTCAAATGTCTGATTCATGAATGGTTCCAAAGGCAGGTTATCTCTCCAGTTCAGTGTTAGACTACTGGAACTGGGTATAATGGGGGGGGGGGAGAAATGATCACTGTTATCTTTTACACACTGCATTACACATAGTGGCTGAAATCCTATTCTTTAGCTTTGAAGTCTTAACTAGAGTCATTTGAATCAATGGAATCTATGGAGGAGTTGACTCACCAAATTCTCATTCTTCTTTGTGGCCTCTGTGAATGCACACAAATGGGTTGTTTTGCGCCTGCGCTGAACATCTCGGAAGATTCTACAACTAAAAGTAACAATTTAGTAGGGCATTCCTCCATGGGGCACATGCTCCTCCCACCCACGATTCCCCTCAGTCCCTTTTTTCCACCGAGCGGATCGGACCTTCGGAAGAAAAGAGCCCTTTTTCTCTCTTGAGCAACTAAATACGATTATCACAACTTCCTCTTCTAATGTCTAAATTGACACCTTTTTTTCAGTTATCTAATCATTGTTCCCCCATTCTGTTTTTGCCTTTCCCGCCTTTTTTGCTCCCCCCGTCTCTTCAACCATTTCTCCATCTGGTTTCCCACTTATGGCCTCTACAGCTCCATTCAAACGGTGCATTGAGTGCTTGAATAAAATTCCATCATCTGACGGACATGAACACTGCTTATTTTGTCTCGGGGAGCAGCAACCCACTCACTCCTGCACGCCTGTAAAAAATTCACCAGACCAGCACTCAAATTGAGGCTCCAGTGGCTGAGATCTTACCTTTGGGAGAGATCCTTGAACCCATTGACAGCCTCTATGGAAGTGGCCAGATCACCTTCGGTTGAGCGGCAATCCCAACAGCTAGCTCCCGTTCCACTGACTCCATTTCCTCGACCTAAGGAGAGTGCTGATAAGTCCAACCTGCATCAAAACAAGGGTCGGCTTCGATGTCAAAACCTTCAGCTCGAACCCACAAGCTGTCTAAAAAGAAAAAAGAAATTGACTGCTGTAGCGTTCTCCATTTACTAGATCTATGGTTCTTGTTGTATTATGTAATGGTTTATGAATATTCATATTGCTGTGAGGCAGAGCCAAGAGAGATGCTATAAGAGGCGGAGTCAGCAGATGGAGTTTAATTTAAATCAGTAAGAGAAATGTAACGAGTCAGGCAGTAGAGAGTAAGAGTCGGAGAGTGTAATAGAGTGTGTAGTTTGAGAAATTCTGAGGTGTGATTAGTTACTGAAGATATTTATGAATCAATCTATGTAATCAATAAACCAAAGTTTTATTTAAAAGAACTTGAAGTGTGGACCTGAATCTTTCTGAAGTAATGGTGATTTAGAGATCACCTGGTGGCAGCAAGTGTAAAAGAAGAGAGTGTTTGCCTTTGTGTGCTCAGAGGCTTGAAGGTCAAGCAAGGGGCACGAGGGAGGATGTCACAACTGCTAAGAAAACAAAGTGAACCAAATCTGTCCATCTCGAGCCCCCGCAGGTCATTTTACAATCAACAATTCTGTAAGAATCTTCTAGGGAGGCTCAGGACTCAACTTCTGAGAGAGAGGAGTCACAACCACCAGTGCCTCAGGCTCTTGTCTCAACAGGCAGCCTATCTCCTAATGTTGGCCTATCTGTGGCTGAGTCACTGTCCAGCCTGGCCTCGGCCCATTCCAGCCCTGCATCAGGGCAGGCAGTCGATATTCAGTTATTTGGCTCAGAATCTTCCCACCGTTTTCCCCGGAAGCATCGGGAGAAACAGAAGCATATTTCACCCAATGTTCAACCCAATGACAGACCACCCATTCATGAGGTTAACAGTAACACCAGAGTTAGCCAAACAACTCACCTGGTGGACATCGACGCCGAACCTCCTGGTAGGACAACCCTTCATGTTCTTCCAGCCAATGGTGCAGGTCCCCACCAACCTGCTGGATGGGGAACTCATTGCCTCCATCACAAAATTGATGGACTACAGACGAAACAAGAACAATTATTCCATGTCAACCATCTCAAGCTCCATCAGAGCTTTTCATGCTTTCCTCCCAATCATCAAGGTTTTGCAACTGGCACTGGACAATACAACTGCACTATATTATGTAAACAGGCAGGGAAGCACACATTCTCTATCCCTCTTATACCTTGCCATTGACCTGTGGGAATAGTGTTACCAACATCACATCTTCCCCATAGCAGTGCACATTTCCATGGACATGAATTACATAGCAGACCACTTCAGCTGTATGACATCGAGAACTCACAAACGGTCTCTCAATGGTGCGATCTTCGACCAGCTTTGCCGCCGATGGAGAACACCAACCATCAATGTCTTTGCTTCAAGTGCAAACAACAAGTGCGAGTTCTACTGTTCTCGAGCCGGAGCAGGCGAGAACTCCCTCGGGGACGTGTTCATGATGGCTTGGAACAAGGGATTACTCTATTCCCACTGATACCACTCATTCAACGAACAATCATTCGACTTCGGCACTTGCAATCCAGTGCGATCCTCCTAGCTGCCTGGTGGCCGAGGCAGCCGTGGTTCACCCACCTCAGGTCGATGTTGATGGACTCCTTTCAACTCCCTCTGGTTCCCAATCTGCTGACACAGAGGAATGGGATGGTCTACCATCCAGATCTCCCATTGTTGAATTTGACAGCGTGGAGGATACTCCCGCTTTGAAACGAGTCTTGAACCGAGCTCGAAAGCCTTCAACTCAGTTCCTTTATGCGAACAAATGGAAAGCTTTTCTTAATTACACTGAATCAAATAACTTACCTGCAATTCCTGTTTCGTTGAAGACACTACTTACCTTCTTACTACATCTCTTTGAATTTGGACTCTCTTATTCTACTTTAAAAGTCTATATTTCAGCCATCGTTGCCCATCAACCAGATAACTCCAAATCAGCTAAACTTTTATCTCACCCTATGGCTAAAAAATTCCTAAGGGGACTCAATAACATTCATCAACCATGCCAACGTATTATATCTCAATGGTCACTACAAATTGTCCTTAATGCTCTTATGCGACTACCATTTGAACCAATGGCATCTTCAAATTTTAAATTACTTTCTCTGAAGAAATCTTTCCTAGTGGCTATAACATCTGCTAAAACAGCCAGTGAACTTGCTGCTCTTCATTCTGATCTACCTTTTATCCAATTCCACCCAGACAAAGTGACTCTTTATTTTGATGACTCTTTTCTATCTAAAATTGTAGCAGAATTTCTCTAAATCAACCAGTTATATTACCATCATTCTTCCCGTCACCATCAACCCCTTTAGAGCACATGCGCCACATGCCAGATGACCATCAACCCCTTTAGAGCACATGCGCCAAATGCTAGATGTAAGATACTCCCTTGCATTTTATATTGACACAACTAAGGTTTTTAGGAAAACTAACAGGCTTTTCCTATGTTTTCATGGAACTGACAAGGGAAGCCCAGCTTCATCACAATTCATTTCCAGATGGATTGTCCAAACCATTTTTCTAGCATATGAACTATCAGGCAAACCACCTCCTGATCATTTGAATGCACATTCAGCTAGAGCGGTGTCAACGTCTACTGCCTTCCAGCATGGAATTGAAATTTCTAACATCTGTCGTGCTGCAACATGGTCGGCCCCATCGAACTTTGTCAGTCATTACCGCCTAGATGTGACAGCACGCAATGATGGTGGATTTGGCAGAGCTGTTTTGGCATCCTTCCTACCGTGACGTCCCACCATCCGGTAAGTGGAGCTTGCTAGTCACCCATTTGTGTGCATTCACAGAGGCCACAAAGAAGAAAAAGTGGTTACCTACCTGTAACCATAGTTCCTCTAATGGTCCTCTGTGAATTCACACATCCCACCCATCCTCCCCTCCATCATGGGTATATTAAATGGCTCTTCTGCCCAGTGGACAAATTTTAGAAACTGAGGGGAAATGCAGGTGGGAGGAGCATGTGCCCCACAGGGGAATGTCCCACTAAATTGTTACTTTTAGCTCTAGAATCTTCCGAGACATTCAGCGCAGGTGCAGAACAACCCATTTGTGTCAATTCACAGAGGACCACTAGAAGAACTATGGTTACGAGTAGGTAACCTCTTTTTATTCAAAAGGCATACTCTAGTGCAATTTTCATTGCTAAATGATAGGATTTCAGTCATGATGTTACCGAAATGAAACATTAGATAAGTTTTCTTCATGTTTCATTAGAATTGACATTCTAAGCTGTCTCATATTGCTCAACATGTGCAAATGATGTATGACTGATTTGTAAAATTACGTGTTTTCATGCAATAGTAAATGTATGCTGGTTTTGCTTCATTTTTGAGCCTATTTATAACATCATTTATTCTTGTATTTATAGATGGACCCAAAGTTACGTCCCTCATTTTCTGACATTGTCAAGACATTGGAAGTGATTCTGAGCAATTTAAGAAGCGAGGAAGATGAAAGGGAACGGAAACTTCTAACTCTGGATAGTACAGACCGAAAATCAATCTCTGTTTCCAAAGGTAGGATTTCAGGACGGTGGGCAAACCTGATTACTGAGCAAGGGCAATGTGTTTAGTACATTATTATAGGGCCTTTCCTTTGAATTTCTGAGGAAGAATGTAAGCTACAGTTTACATTTTTATTACTAAATGAACACATATATTTCTCTCAATCAGTATTATAACAAAATTATAAAATGTAATTTTAATAGGCAAATTCCTATTGCGTAACTTTGCATTTTAGGTTCTGAGGCTTCCCTGGGCTCTGTTTTACCTTGAAGTCTTGGGATAGTGAAGGGGAGAAGCATTTAAAAGTCAAAAATTGCTGCTGCTAAGATTGGGACCTCCAGCACTGATCTGACAGCAATTCTTGGCTTTTAAATGTTTTCCGCTTCATGTTGTGAGGCTTTTCCAGAGCAAAAGGGAGCCTTGAAACCGAAAACAGATAGTGCAAGCTACACATTTTTGGCATCCAGTGTGAACAGTGCCATGCACAAAATTACACAACAATGAGTGCACTAAGTCCCATTACTTAAATTTCTAAATAGCAGTGAAAGTTTTCCAACATTTATTTTCTACCATGTTTGCAGGTGGCAGTTACTCCCCTCCCCCCAGACCACAACCATTTATATCATAAAGTCCTATGCACGTGGTCTCTTAAATGCGTATAATCACCACGAGTAGAGGTGAGCACTCTTGCCACACCCTTCTCCATTTCCAGTATCATTGCCCTGGAATGAAATGGGAAATGGGCAAACACTTAAAAGCAGAATTCTTCACTATCTATGGTAGCTCTCCATGCAAGTTGGGATCCTGGAAAGTCCCTTTCTCAGACATATTGCCCTCCACATATAAGAGGGCTATGGAACCAGAAACAGAGATGACAAGGCTAGAATGTTCCCCTCTGCCTATGGTGAGTATCTCCAGTTAGAGAATGCCTGAACAGATCTTAATTTGCATCATATTTCATGACAATGCATTATCTTAATATTTCTGTTTTCTGTTTAAATGTTTGAATTTCTTTCCTCTAAATAAATCCATTATTACCTATTTGGCCGTTAGTTCCCTCTATAAGTCTTACTTCAAATAAATAATGATAAGTAAACCCTACTAATAATAATACTTTTGGCCTCTCCAAAGTATTTCAGTTTTTGATAGTTGCAGAATAGTCTAAAACGTCTACATTCTTAGTAAATATTAAATGAAGATTACCTTAATTGAGTGTTCCAGGATTTATTCCTATGATGATGTAGTGCTCAGGAGCAAAAAAAGAATAAAATCTTTTTTGCCTTAAAATCCCATTCATTCTTATTTTAGAAACCATCTAATTTTTATATTTGAAATAAATAAACATATATTTAAAATGTATATTTAAAATATAAATTTGCCTGTAATATACTGAAAAAGGGAAATTCTCTAGATCAAATTTAATTTATTCCACATTAGAAAAATCTGTTGGCACTTAACTAGAATTCTAAAAATGCACAATTCTTTGCCGATTTCCAAATACACATATATAGAATAGGGTTAAAATCCCACTACTTTCAGTGCCTTCATCCGTTCGTTTAGTCGTTTAGTCATGTCCGACTCTTCGTGACCCCATGAACCAGAGCACGCCAGGCCCTCCTATCTTCCACTGCTTCCTGTAGTTGTGTCAATTTCATGTTGGTTGCTTCGCAGATACTGTCCAGCCATCTCATCCTCTGTCGTCCCCTTCTCCTCTTGCCGTCGCACTTTCCTAACATCAAGGTCTTTTCCAAGGAGTCTTCTCTTCTCATGAGATGGCAAAGTACTGGAGCCTCAGCTTCAGGATCTGTCCTTCCAGTGAGCACTCAGGGTTGATTTCCTTTAGAATGGATAGGTTTGTT